GCTTGTACCTGTAATCCCAGCACTTTGGGAAGACAAAGCAGGAGGATCGATTGAGCCTAGGAGCTAGAGGCCAGCCTGGGCAACAAAGTGACACCCCCATCTCTATTTAAAAAATAAATTGGCCAGACATGGTGGCACATGCCTGTAGTCCCAGCTACTCGGAAGGCTAAGACTGGAGGATTACCTGAGTTCCGACCCCCACCCCCTACCTTTCCTACACAGAAGCAAATGGAAGAACTATTTTTTTTTTTTTTTTGAGATGGAGTCTAGCTTTGTCACCAGACTGGAGTGCAGTGGCACAATCTTGGCTACCTCCGACTTCCTGGTTCAAACGGTTTTCCTGCCTCAGCCTCCCGAGTAGCTGGGATTACAGGCACACACTGACACACCCAGCTAATTTTTGTGTTTTTAGTAGAGACGGGGTTTCACCATGTTGGCCAGGATGGTCTTGATCTCCTGACCTTGTGATCCACTCACCCCGGCCTCTCAAAGTGCTGGGATGACAGGTATAAGCCACCATGACCGGCTGGAAGAGCACTTTTTAAAACAATTCTTGAAAATGAAGAATGGGATTCCATCCCCTTTGATAGGTGTTCTTCTTTTTTTTTTTTTTTTTTTTTAAAGACGGGGTTTTCCCATGTTGGTCAGGCTGGTCTTGGACTCCCGACCTCAGGTGATCCACCCGCCTTGGCCTCCAAAGTGCTTGGATTACAGGTGTGAGCCACCACGCCCGGCCAATAGATTTTCTTGATAGAAAACTGCTTTCAATAGAAAGTACTGTGCTGGAAATAAACCCAGGATGAATTTTATGAACCTACGATGCAATTTACAGAATTTTTTTTTTTTGGTTTTTTTTTTTTTTTTTTTGTGTTTTCTGAAACAGCCTTGCTGTCACCCAGGCTGGAGTGCAGTGGCATAATCTTAGCTCACTGCAACCTCTACCTCCTGGGCTCAAGCAATTCTCCTGCCTCAGACTCTTAAGTAGCTAGGATTACAGGCGTACACCACCAAGCCAGGCTAATTTTTGTATTTTTTTAAGTAGAGATGGGGTTTCACCGTGTTGGCCAGCCTGGTCTGGAACTCCCGACCTTGTGATCCGCAGGTCTTGGCATCCCAAAGTGCTGGGATTACAGGAGTGAGCCACCGTGCCCCACCTGCAATTTACATAGTGTTAAAGCACAATTTATCCCACTTTAAAAAATAAGTATCAAGAATCTTCACCTTAAATATAAACAATAAAATTTATTTATTTATTTTTTTTGAGACGGAGTTTCACTCATGTTACCCAGGCTGGAGTGCAATGGCGCGATCTCGGCTCACCACAACCTCCGCCTCCTGGGCTCAGGCAATTCTCCTGCCTCAACCTCCTGAGTAGCTGGGATTACAGGCATGCGCCACCACGCCCAGCTAATGTTTTGTATTTTTAGTAGAGACGGGGTTTCAGCATGTTGACCAGGATGGTCTCGATCTCTTGACCTCGTGATCCACCCGCCTCGGCCTCCCAAAGTGCTGGGATTACAGGCTTGAGCCACCGCGCCCGGCCAAAATTTATTTTTAAAAAGGTAATTCTGACTGGGTGCGGTGGCTCATGCCTGTGTTTCCAACACTTGGGGAGGCCAAGGTGGAAGGATGACCTGAGGTTGGGAATATACATTAAAAAAAGAACATAAGAGAGCTTCAGGGTATTTCTATAAAAAGATGTTACCTCATGAATGACTGTAGTTCCCAAATTAAAAGTTCTAATATGTAACCCTATCAATATGACCAAAACTTTGAGTAAACAGGTAAGATTAAATGAAATGGTACCTCAAATTTTCTAGTTAGTATAGGATGCATTATCCTATTATTTGATTATTCAGTTATTGGCATGCATGCATTTGAATGGCTGTCAGAAAAGGGTAAAAAATACCCTACGTCTCTTTGTTGCTATTCTAGTTCAAAGAATGAAGTTGTTGATTTGAATTATTTAACTAGTGGAAAAATTGGGATCACTCCAATTTAAATTTTTTTTTTTTTAATTTTTTTCCACCCCTTCCCCCTCAAAGAGTAGTTCGGGAAGAGTGATTTTGGTTTTTATATTATTTATTATTTTTTTAGAGATGGGGTTTCTCCAAGATCACCAGTTTCTGATGGTTTGTTTTACTAGTTGATTTAAAAATAATGTTTAAACCCATAACAGTAAGAAAATGTTTCAAGCAATACATTTTGAACCAGCAGTTAAGGAAAGGCTGCCTAATTACACAATGAGCCCACATCTCTTCGAAAGACCATTGTTCTGACTTAATTAACATGAAGTAAAACAGTCCTAAAACAACAGGGCACATTCCCATTAGGATAAATTACTCAGACCTCAGCAAGGCAGCAAAGAATTCCCTAGAGTAGAATCTGTCACTGCTTTTCCACCTGCACTATATCTCTCTCTCAAAGGACTCTGCTAGAGCTGGGAGCCTCCCTCCGGAAGGGGCATCTGTTCCATATTGAATTCGCTCCATTTGTGGCCATGGGTGGAGGGTGCAGCAAATCCCCAGGCAGCCAGCAGAAACATGGCTGGGACGGGACAGATTCTCAGCAGCTGTGGCTGCCTTCGAAGCACTTTTTTCCTGCTCATTCTGGTCTCAAATCTTCCATGTGGATATTTAAATCTGTTGTTGCTGGACTTAATATAGGGAAGAATGGGATGCGTAGTCTTCAGAAAAATGCTATTTTCTTTTTTCTCCTTTTTTTTTTTTTTTTTTTTTTTGAGGCGGAGTTTTTCTCTTGTTACCCAGGCTGGAGTGCAATGGCGCGATCTCGGCTCACCGCAACCTCCACCTCCTGGGTTCAGGCAATTCTCCTGCCTCAGCCTCCTGAGTAGCTGGGATTACAGGCACGTGCCACCATGCCCAGCTGATTTTTTGTATTTTTAGTAGAGACCGGGTTTCAGCATGTTGGTCTCGATCTCTTGACCTCGTGATCCACCCGCTTTGGCCTCCCAAAGTACTGGGATTACAGGCTTGAGCCACCGCGCCCGGCCTTTTCTCCTTTTTTTGAGACAGAGTCTGGCTCTGTCACCCAGGCTGAAGTACAGTGGCAACATCTCAGCTCACCGCAACCTCCGCCTCCCGGGTTAAAGTGATTCTCCTGCCTCTGCTTCCCAAGTAGCTGGGATTACAGGTGCGTACCACAACACCTAGCTAATTTTTGGTTTTTTTTTAGTAGAGGAGGGATTTTGCCATGTTGGCCAGCCTGGTCTCGAACTCCTGACCTCAGGTGATCCATGCACCTTGGCCTCCCAAAATACTGGGATTACAGGCATGAGCTCACTGCACCCTGCTCTGAAAAATGCTACTTTCTTAACAGGATCCATAAACCAGGCACAGAAGCTAGTTAGGAGGCTGGGCTCTAGAGCTGGGAAGACCTGACTTTGCCTCTTAGAGGCAAATCAGCTTGCCCCACTTCTTTCATCTCTCTCTGTCTCAATTTCCTCATCTGTAAAGTGGTAGACTCAGTGGTATCATCTAACAGGGTTAATGCTCGAGAGTTGTTGGTGATTATGATCCACATGTGAGATGAGATGAGTCTGAGGTCTCTGCGCACATTAGAAAAAAAATTCCCCAAACACTTGCATGAGCCATAGGATACCATGCAGAGCACATTTTTCTTTTCAGTGGGCCTCTCTCTGTGTGTTTGTATGTGCACTGCACCCTATATTAGGAAAACCCAACTAATTAGAAAAAACCCCAAACATATCCTGTTTATTTTATACTACCTATGCATCAGTAATGAAATCAGGTTTACATCTAGAGCAACATCAGTATTTTTTTTTTAAAACCTTTCTTCATTTGAGTATGTTTCTTCCCCAGTTACTTAATGTCACAGATGGTAGGACAAATAACTTCTGTGCCCTTCAAGTAACTTTGTTTGGAGTTAAATACATTAACTGGCATTTGTCACGTGATGGGGAGGGGTAGGAACAGTGTTTAATCAAAATAAAGATGGAACATTAATTCATGTCTGAGGACAGTTACAATACTAATGAAGCTGACTTGAATGAGTTATCATTTATTTGGGACAGGCTCTCATTCTGTCACCCAGGTTGTGCACCATCATGGCTCACTGAAGCCTCTACCTCCCAGACTCAACTGATCCTTTCACCTCAGTCTCTTGAGTAGCTGGGGCTTCAGGCATTTGCCACCATACACAACTAATGTTTTGTATTTTTTTGTAGAGATAGGGTTTCATCATGTTGTCCAAGCTGGTCTGGAATTCCTGGGCTGAACCCATCTGCCCACCTTAGCCTCCCAAAGTGCTGAGATTAACAGCCATGAGCCACTGTGCCTGGCCACATTTTTATTTTTATTTAATTTATTTATGTAATTTTTTAGAGGGGGGACTCTTGCTATGTTTCCAGGCTAGAGTGCATTGGCTACTCACAAGTGTGATCGATCATAGAGCACTACAGCCTTAAACTCCTGAGCTCAAGGGATCCTCCTGCCTTGGCCTCCCAAGCAACTGGGACTACAAGTGTGTGCCACCATGCCTGTCTTTAAATTAATATTTACTTCTTTATTAATTAATTTATTTAGTGGCATTTTTGTTTGTTTTTGTTTCTGCCAAGTGCACAGTATAATAAGTGAATTCTTAGGGAATTTGTTCTAGGCCTGGAGCAGTTGCTCACACCTGTAATCCCAGTACTTTGGGAGGCTGAGACGAGAGGATCAGCTGAGACCAGGAGTTTGAGACCAGCCTGGGTAACATGGTGGGACCAGTTTATGTGTGTGTATGTATACATATATATATATATGTGTGTGTGTGTATATATATATATGTATACACACACACAAAACATACTATGTGGTCATCACCTGTGTGTGTATATATATATACAAGGCAATATGTATATATATATATATATATATATATATGTGTGTGTGTGTGTGTATGTGTATATACATATACTATTTAGTAGAGAAAAAGCCACCTTTTCCTCACAAAAACTAGGACTATATTCCTAGTTCCTGAACTGCAGGGACTTCTATAACCCATAAGAAATAGAGAGAATCTGAATCCCTTGTTTTCACGGTGTCTCCATGCTCTGAGGGCTAGTGGTTTTTTTTTTTTTGAGACGGGTCTGGCTGTCACCCAGGCTGAGAAGCAGTGGGGCGATCTCAGCTCATAGCAACCTCTGCTTCCTGGGCTCAAACCATCCTCCCGCCTCAACTGCCCAAGTAGCTGGGACCCCAGGCATGTGCCACCATCCCTGGCTAATTTTTGTAGTTTTTTGGTAGAGAAGGGGTTTCACCATGTTGCCCAGGCTGGTCTGGAACTCCTGGACTTGAGTGATCCACCTGCCTTGGGCTCCCAAAGTGCTGGGATTACAGGCGTGAGCCACTGTGCCTGGCAAGGCTAACAGTCTTCATGAAACTTCATGTGGGAGTAGAATGTTTCTTGATCTGAGAACATTTTCCCACAGATGCTACAGGAGCAGCACTCATCCTCCTTGTGTGAACGTCGGACATGGCTATCATGGGCAGCATGGGATGCGAATGATTTACCACAGTACTTGCATTTGAAGGGCTTCTCCCCAGAGTGCTGCCTGATGTGTGTGCGGAGTATGCTGGAGGCTGTGAACCTCTGCAGAGAAGAGAAACACAGAGCACAAGAAAAAGTCAGCCTCCATGAGGTGGCCAACTAATTAAACTAAGCGGTCAATTTCATTGTCGTTCATCCTTAGGGACGAACCTTGGGTTTTGAGGCCTGGTCATCAGCAGTAGCATTAATCGAAAAGGACTCCACTGACTTGTCCTTCTGGCTGGTTTTGAGAAGCACTGGATGTTAGAACAGTGGTTCTTCAGTGGCTAAGATTATCTGGAGGTCTAGTTTTTAGAAAAGCAGATTGCTGGTCAGGCACTGTCGTTCACACCAGTAATCCCAGCACTTTGGGAGGCCAAGACGGGAGGATCACCTGGGGTCAGGAGTTCGAGACCAGCCTGGCCAACATGGTGAAACCCCACCTCTACTAAAAATACAAAAATTAGTCGGGTATGGTAGTGCGCACCTGTAATTTCAGCTACTTGGGAGGCTGAAACTGGAGAAATTCTTGAACCCAGGAGGTGGGGGTTGCAATGAGCCATTACTGTACCACTGCACTACAGCCAGAGCGACAGAGTGAGACTCTGTCTCAAAAAAAAAAAAAAAAAAGCAGATTGCCAGCCTGGGCAACATAGCAAGACCGCACCCCTACAAAAAGTAAAAAACATTATCTAGGCGTGGTGGTGTGCACCTGTGGACCCAGCTATGTGGAAAGCTGAGGTGGGGGGATCACTTGAGCCCAAAAGGTCAAGGCCACAGTGAGTTATGATGGCACCACTGCACTCCAGCCTGGGCGACAGAGTAAGACTCTCTCTCAAAAAAAGAAGCAGATTGCCAACTCTACCCAAAAGAGAGTGACCCAGTAAGTCTGACATGAGACCCAGGAGCCTGCATTTAAAGAAGCAATTCTGATGCAGGTGATCCTAGGGTCACACTTCAAGACACGCTGCATTACAGAAGGAGGAGCTATTACCAACCAGTCTTTGCATAAGTCAGTGGTTGTAAAAAAAAACCTTAGTGGTTTTCTTCTTCTTCTTCATTTGAATTTAAGCTTTTGAAAGATGGTTTGTAGGTTTTGTTTTGAGACAGTGTCTCACTCCATCACCCAGGCTGGAGTGCAGTGGTGCAATCTAGGCTCACTGCCACCTCTGCCTCAGTGATTCTAGTGCCTCAGCCTCCCAAGTGGCTGGAATTACAGGCACAACACCATGCACATCTATTCTTTATATTTTTAGTAGAGATGGTGTTTCTCCATGTTGACCAGGCTGGTTTCAAACTCCTGACCTCAGGCGATCCACCTGCCTTGGCCTCCCAAAGTGCTGGGATTACAGGCATGAGATACTGCGCCCGGCTCAGCAGTGTTTTTCTATGCTGATTATTTTCATTCTATTGGCACACACTTTTGAGGTATTGGTTGCCCCGATCTGGTAGACTCAATGTTTTATTCCTCTTTGAGAGGCTAAGAAGCAGCTGTAGGACAGCCGCTACTCCTTTTATGGCTTTACGGTAAAAAGTGTGAATGACTCAGTGACAGAAACATAATCTATCAATCAGTGCTTTCCAACAGGACTTTCAGCAATGATGGGAATATTCTGTACCCCCGCTGTCCAGCTTGGGAGTCACTAGCCACATGTAGCCAGTGAGCACTTAAAATGTGGCTAATGCAATCTCAGAACTGAATTCTTCAACTTTCCTTCATCCTTACTAACTGAAATAGCCACATATGATTAACTGCACACTGGACAGCACAGATGTATATCATCAAAACAGGACATGAGCTATTTTGGTGTAATATGTCTAAAGCATGGTCAGCCTATTGTTCCTATTATAGCAACTCCTAACCATGTGATTCATGCCTCTGTTTTTACAACTCTATATTCTGTGCAACATAGACTAGACGCCACTTCTGCAGTGCTCCTATAGAAAGCTGCATCGGCAGCATCCTTTACAGATTAAAGTAGTAATACTAGTAGCTAACATTCCAGTAGTACTTTTACGTTGTGCCAGGCACTGTTACAAGGATTTTATATTTTATATATCTTACTGATTTTTTTTTTTTAAATGAATGAGAGGTTCTTATTTTGCCCAGGTTGGCCTTGAACGCATAGCCTCGCCTCCTCAAGCGCCAGGACAACTGGCCCGAGCCACCGTGGCTCCCATATCTTACTGATGTTATCCAACAACTTGGTAAAGACTCTTGTCCCCCAATTTATCAATGTGGAAACTAACGGAGGAGTTCATGGACTTGCTCAGGGTGGCATAGCTAAGTAAGCACCAGAAGCAAGATTTGAACCTTGGCCAAGTTTATGCTCTTAAATACTATACAAAACAGTGATTTTTTTTTTTTTTTTTGTTGGGTCTCACTTTGTCACCCAGGCTAGAGTGCAGTGGCATGATTTTGGCTCACTGCAAACCTCTGCCTCCTGGGTTCAAGTGACTCTCCTGCCTCACTTGAATCTAGCTGGGATTACAGGCACCTGCCACCACACTCAGCTAATTTTTGTATTTTTAGTAGAAACAGGATTTCACCATGTTGGCCAGGATGGTCTCAAACTCCCTATCTCAAGCAATCTGCCAGCCTCAGCCTCCCAAAGGGCTGGGATTACAGGCTTGAGCCACTGTGCCTTTTTTTTTTTTTTCTGAGATAGTGTCTTACTCTGTCACCCAGGCCAGAATGCAGTGGTGCAATCTTGGCTCACTACAACCTCCACTTCCTGGGCTCATGCAATTCTCCGGCCTTAGCCTCCCAAGAAGCTGGGAGTACAGGCATGAGCCACAGTGCCTAGCTAGTGCTTTTAAACACTATGTAACAGGCCATCAGGTCCCCATACATTTGGAATATGTTTTACTACATGTATCCTAAATGCCAGCTTGGGAATAGGAGCTTGGTTACATTTGATCATCTTTAGCAAACTCAAGCATATTTAGGGGTGGAAATGAGGACTGCGCTGATATTTGACTAACATTTACCAAGAACTCATTAAGCCAGGCTTTATGTTTCAAGTTCTTAAACATAGACACCCAAGCCGAGCTCAAGACCAATCCCTTAGTGAGAGGTTCCATTTACCTTAGTACAATACACACACTGGTACGGTCTGTCTCCAGAGTGGACTCGCATGTGTTTGTTTAGGCTGGAAGACTGAGAGAAACACTTCCCACACGTAGAACACTGAGGTGAAAAAGAAAAGTAGAGTTGAAATCACACCTTCCTCTAACAAGTCCATTTCAACCTTGCGTTTACCTGGGGTTAGAGAAGAATTCCTTTTTTAAATTTTTTTTTTCTTTTTTGAGACAGGATCTCAATTTGTTATAGGAGTATATTATATATTCCTTTAAATTTGAACTCCTGACCTCAGGTAGTCCACCCACCTTGGCCTCCCAAAGTGCTGGGATTACAGGCATGAGCCACTGTGCATGGCCTCTCCATTTTCAAAAAAGGAAAATGGGCTCAAGGTCGTAGCTGCCTGAGCTAGTTCCGGCAAGGCCAACAGTCAAGCAAGAATACCTCTGTGTCCAAGCCGCGTCCTCCTTTTCATTAAGCCCAAGGGTATCCTGTACTTTTTTTGCACTAAGCCTAGCACAGCATCCAGGAATCTGGAATGGCAGAAAATGGCTCCCTATTGCCATTACTGCTTTTCTGTCTTTCACAATCCTCGGCCTGCTGTAGAGGCCTTCTACTTTTTTTTTTTTTTTTTTTGGAGTTTCGCTCATTGACCAGGCTGGAGTTCAGTGGCGTGATCCTGGATTCAAGCAATTCTTTTGCCTCATCCTCCCGAGTAGCTGGGATTATGGGCATGTGCCACCACACCTGGCTA